CGCTCTTCCTTCCTTTTCTCCAGTCAAGCTATGCTTGATTGAGATCCAGCAGTAAGTTCCCAGACTCACACCAAAAAAACCCATGTCAGGTTTCAAGTTTTGCACACTTCCCAGCAAATTTGAGGTGCCTGGCCACCGTTTCCCTCTCTCTTGCCCAATCCCAACCAAGGACACGCATGGGGAGGGCTTGCTGTACCCTTGAGTCAGCAGCTCAGGAAACAGGCTGTCCTGCGCCAGGTTGGAAGGTCATTGCCACGCATCCTTCCTCCCCAGCATCCATTTTCCTCCCCCCGAGTCCCCCGTACCAGCAGCTGCTTGCCAGCCCATTCCTGCCACCGTGGACACGCGGCAGGAGGTGCTCCGGAGCGATGCCTCCTCCTTCCCTCGCTCGAAGCTGAAAGCATCCGAGTTATCGTACGCTTAACCTGGGTATTAAGCAACATCTCCCATTTGCCCTGGTGTTATCCCGAGCCTACAGACTGCCAGCTTTAAGGCTTACGCGCCTTTCAGCTTAAATATGAGAAATAGTTCTACTTTAGCCCAACAAGACAGAACGGGCACTGAACGGCCGGTTAATATTTCGGTCTCGGAGGACCAAAACCAATTCACACCTCAAGGGAAGTGGACTGGCACGTACAGCGGGATGCAAAATCCCAGCCACGACAGGCAGACTTCGAGACTGATTAGATTAGTACTGGATAAATAAGGAACTCCTGGGGTGAAAAAAATTAAGTAGTAAGTTTGTGTCCTTTATGTAGTACCAGCACTTTGGCTGCACATTGCCTCAGAACTGTTATTTCATACATCTAATGACTCTGCACAGCTATCCAGAAACACGCAGTTAGAAAGCTAGCTTAGGTTGTCAAGATCTGCGCAGATATCTTCAGAAGCAGCATTTCTTTCTGAGTTACAGAGTTTTAAATTTGCGAAGGTTACATTTGCTTTACACGTCACTTTCGATACTCCTCGCATGCCAAGCGTCGCTAATGTCAAATTCACCCTCCACATCTCCAGCCTCAACTCGCACTAGGCGGCTTTCTCAGAAACCGAACGTTTTCCATGCCCATGTAATTAAAAATCATACCAAGGGCCTCAGCGCTTTCCAAGTCCATCCATAAACAGACGCTGCAGTATTTCTTCACAAATTTAATTTCAAAACTTTTGTTTAAGGAGATACAATTCAAATGTAGCTACGGATAACCTCTTAACAGCACAGCAGCTACAGACATGGGTTTATTTCATACCTATTTAATCTGCATCGACATTTTAACTGGAAACAGATTAATTTCTAGGTATCCAAGAGTTACTGTTACCAAACCTTTGGCTAGAACCTGCCAGGTATTTAACCGCACTCATTGCCAATAAATCAACTTCTGTAATCCATTTTGTTAACTCATCTTGATCTACAAAGATGCTGATCATTTCCTCCTAGATTAATTCACACACCTATGAGATGCAAAGGAGATGTAAATTCAAACTCACCCTCCTCAGCCACTCTGTAGCCTAACCTAAACAGCCACTGAACATGCAGCAGCAAAGTGCTGAACTTGATGAATATTCATAGATTAATTCAAGAAGATATCAGTTTATAGAGCTGAAATTGTTCCTATCTTTTCACAAGCCGACTACTTTCTTCGGTCCAGCGTCTGCCTCCTTCGCATCAGCCCGTTATGCCAACACCACACCAGAAATCTAACACACTTCTGCTAATAGAAATATTTAGATCTTTCACCCTAAAGCGCTGCACGGGGTATGGCTTTGCCAGAATCAGCCAGGAAGCGCAGGACGAAAATTATTCCAGTCAACAGCATTTCACGCACACAACCACAGCTACAGTCCGAAGAACAGATGACATCTATTCACCACAGATCTGTTCAGCGCTAAAATCACGCCAGCCACTAAGGAGAAAGTGCTACCTTTTTGTACGGCTCTGACACAAGTTTTCTTGGGAGACGGGGTTATCCACCTCCCTCCGCTGAGACACGTAACCAGAGAATTTGAAACAAGGCAGAAATTATGAGCAACTACTTGTTCAGCAACAACTACTTTATTAGGAACTCTCCGTAAGAAGAAATATAAACGAGAGCCTGACTTACCTCAAAATTACGCTACCTGCTCTCTAGCCTTAAAGAAAAAAGCCGCCCTCGTTTTATGAACCCGGTGACACCCAGGGCCCAATCCAGCAAGGTATTCAGCGATTCCCGCGAATGCCAATCATCCTCAGTGCCCATCGACTACAGGGGACAACTGGCAGAGCTCACTCACGGGAGGGATGCGGCATCTCATTAGTTCAGGCCTCTATTTTGGGGAGATGCACAGCCCTCCATCACGTATCCGTGCTCGGCACTGCTCGAGGAAACAGATTCTTTGAACGAGAAAAAGAAATCGAGCTGCTCAAGGTAGAAAACTGAAAACATTTTCCCCCTCTCAAGCCAGCTTCGTTCTTGTTATTTCACCGATCGTGACGAAAATAACTCACATGGTCTCTGTGCAGAGACAAGACTGAAACGTTCGCAAGATTCCTACTACGAACTCAGCCCAAGTTTTCCAAGGTTTCTTTTTTCCAGGCTACATGATGCTGTTAAATCACAATTCTTGAATTAGTTA